CACACACACACACACACACACACACACACACACGCAGACACACACACACACACGCACACACACACACACACACACACACACACTTGCTTCTTCCTCGTCAAGCTCTCTCAATCAATATGCTCTTCCACTTCCTCATGCTCTTCGTCCTCGAGACTCTCTCTCTCTCTCTCTCTCTCTCTCTCTCTCTCTCTCTCTCTCTCTCTCTCTCTCTCTCCATCTTCGCCTGGTCTCTTCCCCTCCCTCCTTACTCCACCCAACCTCTGCCCTCCCTCTCCCCTCCCTCTGTCTTCCCTCCACCCGACTTCTTCCTGCCGCTTTTCCACTTCCTCCCAAGCTCCTCCTCACTTCTTCCTCTCCAACCTTCCTCCACCCGAACCCCTCCCTTCCCAACCTCCCTTCGCCCGACCCCCTCCCTCCCCTTCCTTCCTTCGCCCAATCTCCGTCTGACCTCCTCCCTCCCCCAATCTCATCCCTCCCGTTCCTTCCTCCTCCCGATCTCCAGCTCCGCCTAATCTCCCCCCTCCCCTTCCTCCCTCCGCCCGACCTCAACCTGACCTCCTCCCTCCATTCCTCCCTCCACTCGACCTCCTGCCTCCCTCCTCTTTTCTACCGGCCTTCCTTTCGTAACGCCCGACCGAAGAAGTGCATTTCGTTTTCTTCCTCTTCCAGACATAAGCTCGGTATTTCTTTCAAGATCTCAATAAGACTGCACGCGCGCAAGAAAGACAGGAGAGAGGGAGAGAGGGAGAGAGGGAGAGAGAGGGAGAGAGGGAGAGAGGGAGAGAGGGAGAGAGGGAGAGAGGGAGAGAGGGAGAGAGACATTTCACCGGACACTCTTCGTTCTCCACATCCTCCTCACGCTCTTCCTTCCCCGCACCTTCGCCTTCGTCCGTTCCTCCACCACCCAAGGTACGTCTCCCGCCTCCTCTCTTCCTCCTCAACATTCACCTCTGGCTCTTTGCGGCCTTAAGATTTATCATCTAACTGATCTGCGCCAGGTATTTCAGGCGATCTTTACACGGTTCACGCTCTTCCCCCCGCATCCCCTTCAACGGCCGCAGTGAGTTAGTCTTCTCTCTCTCTCTCTCTCTCTCTCTCTCTCTCTCTCTCTCTCTCTCTCTCTCTCTCTCTCTCTCTCTCTCTCTCTCTGCCTACGGTTTACCGGGCAGCTCTGTTTGACGATATATATTGTCACACTGTGAATCGGAGCGCAAAGGCGGAAAAGGACACAACAAAAAAAAGGAAAGAAGTAAGGAAGGAAAGCTCCGCCTGTTCATCACCTCTTACGTACAAGGCCGGCCACGTGGATGACAGGTTGTGCGCTGGCTGCCCCCATCCCCGTGTGTCACAAGGACCCACTTGCACGCAGCCAAAAGGCAAAAAAGAGGTAAAGAAAAGGAGGAGGAAACCAAACCTCACAGAGGCGAGAGAAAGAGAAAGGGATCCAGTCAAAGTAAGGACAAGGGAAGCGGACGGCATATCAGTCAAACAAAGCAGATGACACATCCCACAGATAAACCAATTGCCACTGTCACAACGTATTTCAACACTTTTTTTTTTTACTTTTTTTCCTCGTTTTCTTTTTTCTTTTCTTCAGCAATTTGTTCTTGTTTTCTTTTCGTTTTTTCAATTTTGTTTTTCTTCTTTCTTCACCTCCGTATCTGTTGGTAGTGTCGAAAGCTTTATCTGTCCTACTACAATTAGTGTTGCTCCTGACCTGTTTCTTGATTCTCTTGACCAGTCAGGACGAGGAGCCCGTCGATTTCACTACTACTCTTTCTCATCAACGGATTCTTAACAATGTTGCTATTGCCGTTGATGATGCACATGCCTATGCTCTTGCACAGGCACGGCAGCATACAAGGACACGCTCATCCTTTGCTAGTCTTCGTATGGTGGTCGGTGGACCGCTTGCAGGGTAATGGACGACTGATACGGGATCTGACACTCTTTCTGTGTCTGACATTCTTCAACATCTTCGGTTCATTGTTCCTACAGTAATACTATATATATCGTCACAAACAGAACTGCCCGGTAAACCGTAGGCAGAGAGAGAGAAGAGGACAACAACCGAGGGGCTGTGACAAACTGTTTCGTCGGAGTTTCACCGACTCATCACGAGGCTGAACCCTCAACAGTCTGCAGAATCCCCTCACTGATTACACTGTAAATGATAATCTACCTTAACCAAAATCAAAGTAGACTATCACTCACCCACACCAGATGGAAAACTCTACAGACTGTCGGTTCACACCCCATCACAAGCCAGCAAAACATCCACGAAACAAAGATATACAGCGGATGGCCTTGTTCGTCATCAAGATGTTGGTCTTCCTATGGGTACAAACGCCGGTCCTGAGATTGCTAACCTTACACTCTAGTAGCGGGATGAGGCGCAGTACGTGGACCAACCTGCAGCGTGTGGATCCTTCAACAGCTCGCCGATATGCTTTCACTTATCCGTTCATATTGATGATGTGCTTACCTTTGGTTGTCTGCCACCATCGCCAACCTATTATGGTCTTGAATGGAAGTAGACCACTGCGGCTGATGGCTCGTGCACCTTTTCAGGCACGAAACTGCAGACAGGAGCAGACGGATCTCTCCGGTTGAGTGTGTTTGATAAAAAAAGACTGTTGCATGGGATTTTCCTGTTATACGATATCCTAGAGCGACGCCAAACATTCCATCTCATCAGCCTGCAGGTGCCTTCACCGGCCAGCTTACATCTGCAGGTTTGAGCAGATAGATTTGTGACAATTGGCATATGATTTGATGTCAGAACTGCGGCAACCACGCTTGTCCGCCGTTCGCTTTCCCGTGGCCATGCTCATTCGACATTGGCCCCAGGATGGACTTGTTACATTCGTGTTCGCCAGCATCGACACCCTATACATGTGACTCGACTTCCACAATGGTTTCGCCGGATGCTTCGCTGGTCCGTGCATCATCCTCTTCCACTTTCTCCTCCCCTTTCTTTCCCTTCTCCTTCTCCCTCTCCCCCTCCTCCCCCTTCCTCTTTTCCATCTTCTCATCCTCCTCCCCCTCCCCCCCTCCCCCTTCTTGTCCAGCTTCCCCTCCTCTTTCTTCACCCTCCTCCTCTCCACTTCCCCCTTCTTCTCCTCCTCCTTCCCCTTCCCCTCCCCCTCCCCCTCCCTCTCCTTCCCCTTCCTCTTTGCCAGCATCCTCTTCTCCTTTGTCATCTCCCCCTTCTTCTTCTTCTTCTTCTTCTTCTTCTTCTTCTTCTTCTTCTTCTTCTTCATCCCTTTCTTCGTCTTCTTGGTCTTCTTCTTCTTCATCTGCCTCCTTTAGTTTGTCTTCCTCTTCCCCACACCGGCTGAGATCGGCCCCTCCTTTACCTTCGTTGTCCATATTGGGACGTCGGCAGGTTCGTTCATTCTCTCCTCCTCCCAGTTCCCCTTCCTCTCGACGTCGTGCTGATGCTAATCTGCCGCGTTCGTTGTCTTACCGACAGCCTGCTCTGCCACGTCGACGGCGTTCGTCCGTCAATCACGCGCCGACCGCTCGCCAGATTAGACCTGACCTGGCTTTCCAGCGGTGACCGATTCGGATCTGCGGGCAGATCTACCAACTGCTCGTGGCTTGACAGCCACAAATGTCTGCCGACCTCAAAATGGCTTATCAGCGTCAATGTTATACTCCATCCCATTTTGTTACGATTGCTTATCAGCTTGACGCTGTTGAAAATCAGTTGTTGTATGACCATTATAATGGTCCACCTCCTGAGGATAGGGAGTAACTATACTCTTCCTCGTCAGGAGGCTATACTGTAAATGCCTTACAGCTAGCTTTCCACTGCATCATGCGACGCCAGGCGATGGATGACCTCAACGACCATCCTCATATTTCTGCCTGCATTTTGCACAGATCCGGGCAGTAGTATATGGCACTCATTCGTCCAGCTGGCCAGTGGGAACTGTGGGATGGTGGGACGATAATTCAGGCTATTTTCAACGTAAGTAAATGAACTTTTGCGTGCATTGCCGAATCATACTGTATTCGGGATTATCGACTGCCTCTCGTGGGTGGAATTCATCATCTGTGCCATGACCATTATCAATCTATTGTGGGCGCCGCCGTCTGTGCCGAAGGGTGTCCAACATTTCTTCAATGTACACATCCCTATCACCCAGATATTCGTTGTCCGTTTTATGCGCAAGGACGCTATCAGGACTGCATGATGCCGCACTGTGATGAACGTCCTGCTGTTTTTTTTTATGATGTGCACAGCATGTCCTTTGTCAGGACTGTTTTGAAGGGATGGTCCGTGCTAGCCGTCCTGCTGAACGCTGTGCTGGCGCAGCTCTCATTGGGTATCCTTGTGAGCATCCACGTCATCCTCGGCGTGCCTGTCCCCTAGCTGCGGGGTGGGGGCTCCTCGTCCTGACTGGTCAACAGAATCAAGCAGGTCAGGAGCAACACTAATTGTAGGACAGATCAAGCCAACAGATACAGAGTTGAAGAAAGAAGAAAGAAAAAAATTGAAAAAACGAAAAAAAAAAAGAAAAAAAGAACAAATTGCTGAAGAAAAGAAAATAAGAAAATAAGAAAAAAATAAAAAATATGTTTTAACTTTGTTGTGACAGTGGCAATTGGTTTATCTGTAGGATGTGTCATTTGCTTTGTTTGACTGATAGGCCTTTCTCTTCCCTTGTCCTTTCTTTGACTGGATCCCTTTCTCTTTCTCTTGCCTCTGTGAGGTCTGGTTTCCTCCTCCTTTTCTTTACCTCTTTGCCTTTCGGCTGCGTGCAAGTGGGCCCTTGTGACACACGGGGATGGGGGCAGCCCGCGCTCAACCTGTCATCCACGTGGCTGGCCTTGTACGTTAGAAGTGATGAACAGGCGGAGCTTTCCTTCCTTATGTCTTTCCTTTTTTTGTTTCGTCTTTTTCTGCCTTTGCGCTCCGATTCACAGTGTGACAATATATATCTGGGATCAAAAGCCGAAACGCGGCGTTTACATCGATTGGGAAAGAAAAGAGGTGAAATCCATTCTCTAGATCGGGCGTGAAGGAGGGGATTGGAGGGAGGGAGGGTAGAGGGCTAAGGGAGGAAGGAGGGAGGGAGAGGGGAGGGAGGAGGAAGGACCATGGGAGGAAGGAGGGAGGGAGGGAGGAGGGAGGTTCGAGGAGGAATCCCTGGGAGGGAGGAGGGAGGGCTAAGGGCCGAGGGAGGAAGAAGGGGAGAGGAGGGAGGGCTAAGTGCCGAGGGAGGAGGGAGGGAGACAGGTGATGCGGAAGTCGAGCGGAGAAAGGACGGGAAGGGAGGAGGGAGGGCCGACGGAGGGCAGACAGAAGGAGGAGGTCATGCGGAGATCAGGCGGAAGAAGAAGAGAGGTCGGAAGGAAGGAGGAGGTCAGAGGAAGGGAGGCTCACTTGAGTCAGCCATGCCGACGAGCCCGCCAGCCGACGACAATCATGAACCAACAATGAGCAAGCCTTCGGCAACGATTTAGCCCAGCCGTCCAAGCTCCCCAAATATAAACAGCGCCTCAAGCTCACGTTGCAGTAAGCCACGTGGAAGTACACTTAGAACGTAAGGCAATTCACGTAGTAGTACCAGCTCACATTTACGTCGCCAGCACCAATGCACGTAGGACGTGCAATGTCGCCGTAAGACAATTCACGTAGTAGTACCAACCAAGCTCATTCACGTAGCTCACATTTACGTCGCCAGGACCAATGCACGTAGGACGTGCAATGTCGCATGGGCTCCTGGGTAAGCCACATATCCAATGACAGTTGCAAGTTCTGTCTGGAGGAGAGAGACTACAAAGTGCACATTAAACCGCCACATGTCAATTTTTTTGTGACATCCAGCGTCATCAGAGTGTCCTCACAACACATTATTCGTGCAGTGCTCCGCACGTGCAATGTAGCACAAATTCCGAAGCACAAAGATCACGAAAGCACGTGGAACGAATTCCACGAAGCACCAAGCACATAGATTGTAGCATGGAGAAGAGAGAATAGGAGAGAGCAGAGAGAGGGAGGAGAGAAAAGAGGGGGCAGAGAGAGCCGACTTACGTCGCCAGCACCAAAACACGAAGCACGTAGCTAGGAGCACGTAGGATGTACCAAGTCGCACGTAGAATGTAGCGCCAATTCTCCAGTACCAAGTTCCCGAAAGCACGTAGAACGAAATTCACGAAGCACCAAGCACATTGCACGTGGCACGCAGAAGCGAGAGAGAGAGAGCAGAGAGAGAAACAGAAGACCGAAAGAGAGCTCAAATTTATGTCGACAGCAGCAATGCACTGAGCGGGCAGCACGTAGTACGCCGCACTTGCACGTTAGGTCACTTAGGCCGCGCAGCATGGTAGATCGCGTAGGGCAGAGAGAGAGAGAGAGAGAGAAAGAGAGAGAGACAGAGACAGAGAGAGAGAGACACACACATACACAGAGAGAGAGAGAGAGAGAGAGAGAGAGAGAGAGAGAGAGAGAGAGAGAAGCACCGAACCACGTTTGCACCAACTCGCCTAGATTACGTCGTGCAGCCGGCGTTGGTGTGGTTGCGCAGGTCCCGCAGGTCGCGTGAGTTAGGCCGCGAGAGTCGGGTAGGTTAGGTGGCGCAGGCTGCTACCGTTAGGTTGGGTGGGGCCCAAACAAGATTAGAAGGCCTAGGTCCTAGAGCCTCATTGGTCACGGCAAAACCGTAGGTCAGTATCGACCGCATTTCAAGCTGACATAAGTGCTGTAAGCGGGAGGCAGTTAGAGTAATGATATCTCACCCTGGAGCCGTGGCCAAGCCAGCTGAACCGACCATCAACTCTTCAGTACCCTCGTCAACTTGAAGGCTAAGCCCCTTCGGCATTTCCTGACGGTAACCGGGCTCGATGAAAATGGACTCGTGCAAATGGTCACCTTCAGCAGCAAGTTCGAGGTCATCCGAGGCCTCATTTCCTAAGGCAACAAATCGGGATGAAAAGCCGCCTAAGTTCGGATAACAAGCCCCCCCTATTGGCTCAAGGTGACCATTCGACACCGCAAGATTTGACCCTTGCGGAAGGTCGCTTTCAGCAGCAACATTTTCAGGACAGCAGATTGCCTCATTTCCAGCAGCAGTGAATCTGGATAATATCCCGCATAGGGGAGGCCCATATGGGGCCTGATTCCGGTAACAGGGATTTGCAGCGTTATCCGCGCTAGTAAGGAAGAGGTCCGGCAGCTGGTGTGGCTCGGGTATTTCTATCCCTGGCCAACCCAGATCGGGGCCTTTGCCTTGTCTCTGTTTTTCGACCGGGACTGCGGCGGCGCTCTGATCTCCGTACCTGCAACGCATCACAGAGTAACGGTGAAGTTAGCTACCTGCGAGAACGGTAATCAAGAGGAGAAGCTAAGTAAAGTAACTACCTGCGAGAACGGTAATCAAGAGGAGAAGCTAAGTAAAGTAAGTCTTATCTTCCAGAGAGAGCAACCACGACCATAGCCACCTATTCGGAGGTAACAGGAATTTTTCTAATCAAACCTACCAACCCTGGTAACTCCCGCTCATCTGCTAAACTAGGAAAAGCTTGCTTCAGGCCCAGCCGGCCTTTTTTGGATACTGAGTTACGAATCTGCTTACCTCCATTCTTGTAAAGAACCTACTCGGAATTCTGCCCACACACATTGTCCCGTTCAAACTTCACCTCAGAACCCTCCCTCTCAACAGCCTGCCCCACCTTTTCACTCCGTAACCCACCTTTTTCGACAGCTCACAAGCACCACTGTTTCACCAACCTACTGTTCACATGCTCTACCTCACTCCACGAAGAAGCGCCCCCGTTTCGTTTCACCTAGGAAGAGAGAGTAGGTTACCAGTCTGTATTTGTAAAGTACCTACCGAGATTCTGCCCATACGCAACGTCGGTTTCAAACCTCACATCAGAACTCTCCTCCACCAACCAACCCACCTTTTTCACTTCGAAGCAGCCTTTCGACCACTCGCAAGCACCACTGTTTACACCAACCTACTGTTCACAAGTGCTACCTCGCTTCCCGAGGAAGCATTCACGTTCGTCTCACCTAGGAAGAACGTAGGGAACCAGTCTGTGCTCATCCTCATCGACTGGGGTCGCTCAACCTACCACGACAACCTACTCCCTACGAACACATCCTTCGTCCTTCCAACACAGTTTTACCATGGCGTCAACCTCAGGGAGTGGCCCCGATTGGACGGACTTCTCTTCCTGGCTTCAAACGTTAGGCAAAGAGGGCTGCATCTCAGTCCATCTTTCACAGAGTTGCCAGCTCCACACCACTACGAGCAGTATGATTTGCAGCAACCCGAAACCTTGCGAATGCCAAAAGCGAGTGTGGCAAGACTTCGTGAAGAAAGGAGCTTTGGAAGCGGAACAGGTGAGGTTTAAATCTTCAACCAAACCAACCAACCTTGAACATTCTCGTCGTTCCTTAGTATTCCACCTTCATTCATTTAGCTAATTAATCCGCACAGATAATCAACCCCATAACTTATTGCACCCGGCTCTCCATT